TCGTTCGGGGGTGCTTCAGTGGGCACATCGACGCCCAGTGGGCACAGCGTTCTGTACACGAGGGGGACCCCTTCTGCGAGCAGCTACCACTGGGCCTGCGCCGGGGGAGGCCCTTTAGTCTGGCACAGGGGGAAAAAAGACAATCGATATGAAAAGAATGCCGAATAGATTGAATAGATTGTTTGCAACCCTGCAACACAAACAAGGTCTGTGATCGCAAAAAGACATTCCCTGATTGAAATCTGCACCTGCCAGACTCTCAGCTTTTCCAAGCCTGTCCAGACTTGACAGGCTCGATAAAGCTTCAGCCTCACGAAAGAATGCCTCGAGTCAGTGGTAAAATCCTGGTACAGCACCTGTGATTATTCAAGGACTTTCATGGACTTTCGGCTCTAGACATCTCTAGACTCTTTCGACTCCAGACATCGTCAACGCGGGTCGACTTGCTCGGCTCGGGAAGGTCTGCAATGAATTTTGTGGCACAGGAAACAAGCTCAGCTCTCAGGTGCGCTTGTGGCCGCTTGTTCCTGCACCAATGGCCGATTAAAATGAAGAGAAAGGAATATATACCCAGGATGTGAACCTACCAGGGGTGTGATTGGCTCCACCCATCCACAAATGGCAACAGCCTGCCGTGCTCATGAGGTCACATACTGGAACTATGAGGTGAAAAAGCGGGCAAAGCGCCGAACATGCGAAGCATAAGCATAGACTTGGGCTGTGGTGCAGAATGGAAGAGCTGCAACCCGAGACGAGATCAGGATGCCCGAAGTCCTGTCGCATTGCTAGCTGCTCCTCCAAAGCTTTGTTCCGCGCCTGAAAGGGATCTAGGACCGACAACCATGATTGGAACCGAGTATGGGAAGAACCTTGAATATGAATAAATATGCTCCACTCTAATCAATGAAGCGGGCCTCCAGTGTGGCTCTTGGCACCCGAGCAATAGAACCCGTGGTGTTGATTCATGCTCAAGAGATAGGTTCAGGTGGAGGACACTCTCACTGCGGCGAAACTACACAGCCTCAAGCTCTGCAATTCTGCTCTCGGCTGCGGCAAAGGCATCCTCCTGAAAGTCAAAAGACCACGACTTGGCAAAGAACCATTTAGTGTCCAAACAAGATACTTGGTGCCCCTGTGCATCCAACACCGAATGCAACTACCAGAAACGGAGCGTAAATAATTGTTGAACCAGTGCTCCCAGGGATGACTTTTCAAGCAAGCTCTTGAAAAGCGAAATCTCAATTGCTCGGATCTGTCCAATGATCTCTGGGGCGACCTTGATTCACAAACAGCCTGCACAAAGGCCAAAGGGGCCTACTTCTTGTGACAACCTCCAAATGCATGAGCCCAAAGCTGGTCCTTGGCTTCCGATGCACCCTGTGGGGCCTGGTTCACAGATCATGGCAAGCCAAATGCTTCGACAAGTTGATGTACATATAGCTCTGATCAGGCAAGAAGTAAGAAAACTGACCTGAAAGCTTTCAATACCTCAAGAGAAAGAAAGGCAACTGAGTCTTCGCATGCAGAAAGGCTGCGGAGGCACACCCCACCAGCCTCAGAGCCCTGTGTGAGGGGAACTTCTCCTAAGGGTCTGGCTGGTTGGGATAGCAATTCCAAGCACAGAAAACCGTGCAACAAAGGTCCGGTTTGAACAAGGTGCAGTTATAACATGTTGGATGCTCCTAAGTGGTAGTTTCTGATAAAGAAAAGTCTGCTGGACCGCTGGAGTACCATGGTGTACCACTTTTCACTAAAGCATCAAGCCTCGTATCGAAAAATAGATTCGCAGCAATGAATGAGTGATTCGCATGAGTACTCTTGCCTCTTTCTTGCCTCTTGGTCTGCAAGTCACTCCAAGGGCTCCAGGTGCAACAAAACTGCCCTTCTACAGATTCAATTTCAATCCACGAAGTCCAATCGCGGTTGTTCTGTCTGGAAAAAGCCACGTAAATAGAAACTTAGCTGTATGCCATTGGACTCTCTGGTGCTTCTTTGCCAAGCCACCCATGGAGGACAAGACATTATCACGAAGCCTGAGTCAAGAAGTGGATGTGCCGGAAAACCTCATGGCCCTGCTTCTCGGATAGATTTTTTCGGCAAAAAGCTAAAGACCTTGCCACAAGTGGCTCACACGATGATTCCCTGCTATTCTGATCTGAACATGTATTTCGTCCTGTGCAAAAACATCTGAGCGCCAAGCGATGACATTGACGCTGTGTCTAGGCGGCCTGAAGCAGCAGTAAGAAAAAGCAGGATGCCATTTGAACAAAGGTGATTAAAATGTCCAAGGCATGTACCTGTCCATTTCAGTCCAGAAAAGTTCAGAAAACTGATGACAAACAAGAAGCGTCTGCTTGAGAGCACGCCGCTGCTTTCTATGCAGCAATCACGGCAATCAGTATCATCACTTTCGTCTGCAGCTTTACAAAAAGGGAACAAAGGGAACTCGGAACATGCATCTAAAACGAAGCACAACAGACTACGCAGTTTTAAACATGAATCAGCAGGCTCCCAGTTTGAGCCTGCAATCTTCTCAGGGACCTGCATGGTTGTTCATGGCGTGTGCAAGAGTGACCCGTGCTGATTGAAATATAACTTCAGCAACATCTTTCCGCCGTTTGTACTGGTTGGTACTGTCTACCTTGGGTCTTTTCAATACTAATTTCAATTACTCTACACAAATACTGATAGTATACAGCAGTATACACAAGAAAAAGTTCAAAACCCGCCAACGCTGAACAATTGCTGTATTTGAGGAGCAACTCTTGAAGGAACTGGGTTGTAGCCCAGCTTTGAAGGGCCCAACCCCCGCAGCAGGTGTAGCAAAGGCCTTCCAGGGTGGACAGCCCTCACTGTTTAGGCCCAAGAATGAAACTTAATGAATAAAAGTATCGGAAGAACGGAAGATGGCTAAATCCCAAAACCTTTTCAGACCCTGGCTGCAAACTTGCATCATGCCAGGTGACCCCAAGATCCTGCATCCCACACCGCCTCCAAGGAGGACATCAGGATCTCCGGCAGCTCGGCATCAAAGTCCGGCACCTCTGCAGTTCTGTTGTTTGGGCCAACGGAGCGCCGAAGCACCGTGGGTCCTTTGGGGTCATCTCACAGGATGCAGAGCTTAGGCAAGTTAGCCAGCAAAGGTCGACTATCTAGTCTATCTACTATCTTACTATGTTCGGCTTGACAAATCTCTTTGCCTCGACAGTTGCAACGGGGGCAAAGGCTCCTTGATGCCAACAAGGTGCAAGGTCTTCTAAACATTGTGCTTCTCCAAAACGTGGCTTGTTCTTGTTGGCTCTTGGTTTTGAAATGTTGTTTCCAGCCGCCATTGCTTCTAGGGTCCAAGTACAACACCACAACACCAGTGGCTCCATCTTTGCTTGGACTCTGGTTTATGGAAGCTCTATCTCCATTTCTATGCCTCTCTCTCTCTCTGTGTTTCTCCTAGCCCCTGCACGAGGTCAGCCGGCAAGTAGCAGCTGTATCCTCAAATTCAATGTTGAACGTCAATCAAACTTGAAAGCTTCCTCTACATGGAACCAACGCCCCCAAATTCGTTGTGCAATCTATCCTCCCGCCACGTAAGCATGCTACCAAAAAAAATATCAGCTTCAGTGAGAACTTCACACCAGAAACCATTTAGTCAACAATTTTGGATCAGTTGGAAAGTAATATGCCAATGCATTGCAAGCTGACATTGACGCGTAGATTTCTTCTTCAGTACATGTCTTCAAGGTGTATCTTTGGTCTCCAAAGAAGGAGTTCGGTGTTCCAGTAACAAGAAGCTACGAACGGAGCAAAGGGCATCGCTACGAACGGAGCAAGGACGCTACTAGGGGCGCTCCTGGCCATACTAGTAACAAGAGGATGCTACTGGGGGGGCTCTTGGCATCACTACTAGGAACAAGAAGGTTCCTGAGGCCTTGACTCTGCAAGAAGGCCCGGCGCCTTCCACAGCATGAAGCCAGGTCAACTAGCACCAGCATGAGCACCCCTCAATGACCGTTCCTCCCTGGTAGTGGGGGGTTGCAAGAGAGAGAGAGAGAGAGAGCTGGTAACATAGCTTTTGGGTGATCTACTCGTTTTTGATCGTTGACTCGTGTCCGTTTTCGTTCCAATGACTCCGCTCTCGTGGCCCCGCCGGCTGTTTTCCGCTTCGACCATCCTGGCGAGGACTGCGGCGTGCCGGAGCTGCAACACATCCAGCGATACGGAGCTTTGGCTCCCAACCAATCGATCAAAACGGTCGAATCCCTCACTCAGGTTAGAACTTCAGAACTTCCTTTGCACATCACACTGAATCGACTATATAAGTCAACACCAATAGCAGATTTGATGCAACCACAAAAGAAACACGGAGCGTCCAGTGCAGTTCCAGCTGTCCTGGAGAGTGCTGCGCGGGCCTTTTCGGCCTGCGCAACATAGCCTTCAGGCTGCAATGCAAAGTCAAGTCAAATATATTCCTTGCACAAAAAAGGGGGGCCTGGGATCCCTTCATTTAAGATCTTTCTTAATCAAATGCCTGACAATACTTGATGTTCCTCAGGATGGGAGTATCTCCCAACCTGGCCACATCTAGGTAGAAAGCCCTGAGTTGCGGATGGCGAGGTCACAGCCACAGTTTCACAACCCCTGTGGGGGAATCCACCTTCAACTACTGAGACCACCCTGTTGTGTATCAGACCATGGTATTTCTCGTTCGCAGCTTGTGCACCCACGAGAACTCAAGTCAATTTACATTCAGGAATGCACCTTTTTCGTTGCAGCAGGCAATTGAAACAAGGTCATTGGGCTGCGTCTTGTCAAATCAAGATATGCGGAAGCTGTACATAAACGGCAACATCAAAATCTGTGTATATGTACCACTGTAATATGTACACATCATGTTCAAGGACAACTGCGTTGTTGAAGTACAGCAGTAGAGAAAGGGGAATAATTATTGGTCTGAGTCTTGCTCGGCCACAGCGGTTGGAGACAACGTCTCCAGCAAAATCCGTTCAGCTGAGCCCCCCACGCTCGCGAAATTGTCGCCGCAAGGCCACCTCCCGGAGGGCAGAGTTGTAAGCCTTGGGCGGGAGATCTGACGTTCTAAAACGCGGTAGGCTTAAAAGGCCACCTAGTAAGCTCAAGAGCTTTCAAGGAAGCTTCCGGCACCTGAGGGCGGGGGGGAGTTTCCTTGAAGAAGCCCTCGCACAGGTGGTCGCACTTCAGGACTTCAGTATCTGGTGGTATTAATTCCCAATGTAGGGTTTCCCAATGTTGTAGCCATTCTTCGGCACTCCACAGGAGCAAGGACGCTACTAGGGGCTCCTGGCATCGCTACTAGGAGCATTCTTACCATTACAACCGCGAAACGAAGAATGGCTTCTCACCTCAGAAGCCAGCCTTTGGTAGCTTCTGCAGTCGGACGATGTGCTGGGCGTGGTTGCTTTGTGCCTCCACCAGGTATGCCAAGTAAAGAAAAAGAAACACCATGAAACACGTGGTTGCTTTGTGCCTCCACCAGGTATGCCAAGTAAAGAAAAAGAAACACCATGAAACACCCTGGCTTGAAGAAGGTGTTGTAGTGAATCTTGAATCTTCTAAGTAGCTGGGGCATCTGGCATTCACTTCTTCTTCCAAAAGGGCTGCTTGCCTTTCCACGTAGCGGACCTTGTCGGCCGGATTTGGATACCCAAGCTGACACCAAACTGCCGCCCCCCTCACAGGCAGCGTGGTCTTCGACACAAACGGCTTGTGAACGCTCTGAAAAGGAAGCCAAAAGCATTTTGAGAGTTCTCCTTCCAAAATCTCCCAAAAAAAAGTCACAAGGACTGCACCTTGGACTGCACATAGGCCACCTCGCGTAGCCTCTGAACAAACATCTGGTGTTGCCGGTCCTAGGCCACCAAATCGAGGTCAGACGCGTTCTTCTTCTTTCCGAGTCGAACGCGAACGCTCTGGACGGCGCGTCTGACGCGTCTGAGCGCCCAGCCCAACAGCTTTGAAGCTGGTCCAAGGCGGTGTGCACATTGGCACAGGCGGTCGTCACTCCTTGGACACCCAAAGGGGAACGGGAAGCAAAGAGCGAGGTGGGGCGGTTTCGGGAGGTTTGGATGTCTTGTAATTCGGCACGAACAAACAGAGATGCGATGCATGGGAAGCAGATGGCAGAAGGAGACTAGACAATGAAGAACACTGCATCAGGAGGTCTTGTACCACAGGGACACATTCCCAGTAATTTTGATGGATAGAGACACAACAGTGAATTCTGCTTGAGTGCAGAACCTGAACATCTCGTTCGTCTGCTCTATCAGAAGCCCCACTCGACTGCTGAGGCCATGACTGTCTCGCAGAAGCGCTGAACGCTTCTCGTCCTGTTCGAAAGCCCCGGGGTCCGACCAGTCGGTGGGAGAGTCCATCTGGTTCATCCAACATAATACGAAGGGGCATGTCCCACAAAAGGAACACAGGTTGACATATCCCTGTGGCCTGTGGCTGTCCAGTTTGTTCACTCTAAGGTTGGAACCAGGTCGCCTATTTCTCCTGTTTCATTCGACAACACATTCAACCCACTTCCATCAAGCCAGGGCCTCAAGCACGGTTGCAGGGGCGGCACCAGCAGAAGGCACCTCAGGGATTCTCTGGTCAGTGGAAATTGCTGAAACATCAAGTGTACAAAAAGCATCCAAACCATTGCAACTCTGAAGTGGAACAGCTGAAGTGCAAAAAACAACTGAAACATTCAGTAGGACATTGTGCAACTCTGAACAATGCCTGAGGTCAGCACTAAGGCTCGCAACCGAGGTAGCTCGCTTTGCGCTCGTGCCTGGTGTTAAAGATTCAACATGTTTGGGGTGCAGAATCAAGGGGAGTGATCTGCAGAAAAGCATTTGCAACGGAAGCAATAAGGCAGCTCTTGCTTCTTTCTCTCTGCGATTCGATGATCTCGGAATCACTCACATCATGAATGGCTCACCGATCTCATTGCCAGATCGATGTGCCAAAACAGGTCAAGTGTCTTGCCTACTCTGTAACACTGCAA